CACTCCTCCTCCTCCTCCTCATCCTCCTCCTCTTTCCTCATCCTCCTCCTCCTCGTCCACCTTCTCATCATCATCATCATCATCATCAGCATCATCATCATCAGCAGCAGCATCATCAGCACCATCATCATCAGCATCATCATCAGCATCAGCATCATCAGCCTCAGCATCAACATCCTCATCATCATCCGCATCCTCATCACCATCATCAGCATCATCAACAGCATCAGCATCACCCGCATCATCATCATCAGCAGCATCATCAGCATCCGCAGCATCAGCACCATCATCCGCATCATCAGCACCGTCATCATAAGCAACATCAGCATCATCACCATCGTCATCCGCATCACCACCATGATCAGCATCACCATCATCACCATCCTCATCATCATCGTCGGCATCATCAGCATCACCGTCATCATCATCAGCATCATCATCATCATCATCACGAGCAACAGCAGCTTCAGCATCATCATCAGCAGCATCAGCGCCATCGTCATCAGCAGCATCATCATCAGCAGCGGCATCATCACCACCATCATCATCAGCATCATCAGCATCATCAGCATCACCATCACCATCATCAGCATCATCAGCATCATCATCATCATCATCATCATCATCATCATCATCATCATCATCATCATCATCCTTATCCTCCTCCTCCTCCTCCTCCTCCACCTCCTCCTCCTCCTCCTCTCTCCTCTTCTTCCTCCTCCTCCTCCTCCTCCTCCTCCTTTTCCTCCTCCTCCTCCTCCTCATCTCCCTCCTCCTCCTCCTCCTCCTCCTCCTCCTCCGCCCTCCTCCCTCCTCCCTCCTCCACTCCTCCTCATCCACTCCTCCTTCTCCTCCTCCTCCTCCTCCTCCTCCTCCAACTCCTCTTCCTCCTGCCCCTCCTCCTCCTCCTCCTTCTCCTTCTCCTCCTCCTTCTCCTTCTCCTCCTCCTCCCTCCTCCCTCCTCCTCCTCCGCATCCATCATCATCAGCAGCAGCAGCAGCATCATCATCAGCATCATCATCCCCTCCTCGTCCTCCCCTCCTCGTCCTCCTCCTCCTCCTGCTCCTCCTCCCTCCTTCTCATCCTCACCCTTCTCCTCGTCCTCCTCCTCCTCCTCCTCCTCCTCCTTCTCATCCTCACCCTTCTCCTCGTCCTCCTCCTCGTTCTCCTCCTCTCCCTCCTCCTCCTCCTCCTCCTCCTCCTCCTCCTCCTCCTCCTATAGTGTTCCCTTTTTCTCCATATTCCTCCTCTCTCCCTCCCCTCCTCCCTCCTCCCTCTCCCTCCTCCTCCTCCCTCCTCCCTCCTCCCTCTTCCTCCTCCTCCCCTTCTCCTCCTCCCTTCCTCCCTCCCTCCTCCCTCCTCCCTCTCCCTCCTCCCTCCTCCCTCCTCCCTCCTCCTCCTCCTCCTCCTCCTCCTCCTCCTCCTCCTTTCCCTGCCTTAGGCCTCCTTTCCTCCACTCTTTCCTCTCCTTCCTCTCATTCTTTCCACAACTCACGCTTCGGTCCAGGAGCCCCAGGGGTTTCTCAGGAGCGAAAAGAACGACGTACACGTACATACATCCACGATGGTTTTCGAAAGTACGCATTGCGCGAGCGTTCGTATCACGAGGCTAGCCTCGCGGACTGGGGGGCTGTGTTTATGTACGTGGTTGGGCGCGTACGTCTTTTGTGGGCTTCCTAGGAGGGAGGGGTTTGAGGAGAGTTGTCGGGACGAAGGGGGGCTCTAAGAGTTCGCGCTCCTGGCACAAACTCCCCCAAAGTGGGGCGCTCCAAACGAGAGCCTCGGCTTCGAGAAACAGAAGGGTTGCCCTCTTGCCCTTGGCAGACGCTGAAGGAATGCTCGCGGAACGGGGGAAGTTGAACGAGGACGGTTCTGCTGGCGGAATCAGGGACAACGATAGGGGGATAGGCGTAGGGGGGGATGCATCGACCCCCAATCGCCTATTGATCGCCGATCGGGTTCTGATAGCCCCACCCCGCCCAGGAACGCTCGGACTCGATACCGCGAGCCCATCGCCGATCTAGCGGCGATGTATACGGTCGATGTCTCCCCCCTAAGCCAGTCTCCCTCTATCGTTGCTTCTCAAGAGGGGCCCTCTCGCCTCAAGTGAACGGGGAGGATCAAGAAGGAAGGAAGGAGAAAGGTTAAGGATCGATGAGGGATCCAGGATAGTTGGGGATCGAGGAAGGAAGGGGCGGGAGCGAGGGGGGTGGTCTGGGCCTCCCAGATGGGATTGGAGAAGATGGGGTCGGCGGAGCACGCCGCAACGCCGATGCATCGCCGATTCGGCTCGATGTGGAGCCCGATTTTCTCCGCGCTGGCGTCGCCGCTGCATCGCCGACGCCGCCGATGCATCGCCGATGCAGCGGCGGTGCATCCGCGATGCGGCGCGATGCTCCGACCCCATCTACTCGGACCCCATCTGCGAGGCCTCGAGGGTAGTGGCTCACGCTCCCCGGTCGTCCGACTTCCGCTCCTTGTCCTGCTCTCCCCTCCTCCCCGCCCCCCTCCCTGCTTTCGGGAGGCGTGCCCCGTCGCCGGTTCCCGGGTGGGCTGTCGCCCCCCAACCGGGGCGCTTAGGAAAAAACATCCTTGTGGGCACGCCCCGCTGTCGTGTGAGGCGGATATTCGGCCGATGCGCCTGGCCCCAGTGGAGACAAGACCCAAGCCGGGTTTGGTGCCAGAGCCGCGGATTGTGGGGGCAGGGAGGGATGAGGGGGGAGCGAGGAGCGAGGAGGAGGAGTAGGAGGAGGAGCTAGAGGGAAGGGGGTTTAATGAGTGGGGGAAAGAGGAGGAGGACCAGAGTAAGCCAAGATGCGTCAACGATGCTCCACTACTCCCTCCCGTAGCCCCCTTGAACTAGGCAGTTCAGTGCAAGAAATGCCCCCCTTGAGAAGACGTCACCCTTTAGACCTGCCGTTCGCGCGAGAGCCCTGCTTAGAGAAGGAACTGCCTTGCGTTACTCGTGGGAGCAATGGGCAAAGCGGCATGGTATGATCATGCAACTCATTGAGGTGCCCAGCCATATCCACAAGAAACACATTGCCCCCAGCTGAGCAAGTGCAGCACACATTGACCTGCACTTCTGGTCAGGATCTTCCATGCAGTTGCAAGGGATATCCCCATATTGAGAAAGAGCCGCCCTTCAGACGTGTCCATGTTACATAGATTCGAGTGGCGGGCTTGTGAAGTTCAGAAGGGCTTAAGCGAAAACCGCACTTGGAAAAAGGAATATGTATCAACCTCTTCTAAATTTGAAGCTGTGTTGCAAACTCCGCGGCGCTAAGACGAGAGCCCCATTTGGAAAACGACCCCCTCCATCCTTGATGTTGCAATTTTTTCACCAGGCGGCGCTAGCACGGGCACAGGGGGCGCGCGGCGAAGGGCGAGCCGTCGTCGATCCATGTGTATATAGTACTGCACTCTGTTTGTGCTTCCGTTGTCTCTTGAATGTGTGTTTGTGCTCGCTGCCGCCTCCTCCCTGTCCCCCTCGCATGCTGGCAGCCAGCAGAAGGGGGCGTACCAGTGCTGACTAAATGTAGGTGTGGGCATGCGCACGTGCTGCGTGGGCACCCACGCACCCACAGGCACAGTGGGACGTTGCAGGCGCGGCCTCAATGAGGCCCTGCGCCTTAATACTTCTCCGTACATGGCAATCAGGAGCGCAGACTTCCGAGATCATGACTTTTCTAATCGCTGGCCCTTGGAGCTCTCGAATCCTTCCCCGATCCGCTGAATCATCCTGAGCTGTTGTGCGGCTCTTTCTCCAAGCCCGGCAAGAACCTGTGCATGCCGAAAATTGCATAAGATGTTGATGTTCCGCGCGGTTTGTTTCTGTAGCCACATGTATGGGGTTCCTTGGGTCTCTGGAGGTCATCTGATGTCTGTGGGGGCCAGGGCCAGGGTATACGCAACACGACCCAAAACCCGATCACTAATTCTGATCCTCCGTCTCGTAATCGCCCTTCTCTTCATCAACCCTTTTTCCTTGTAAGAACAATTTGCTTTTCGCGCCCTTAGACGTGTCGGTAGGGCGGATTTCGCGTTTCGCTTGATACTTCCTCACCATTTATGATCCTGAAGTTTGCAAGTAGCAACGGCGGCAAGGATGGAGGACGACTGGTTTTCAACATGTGGCTCTTGCACTAGCGACGCACATTCGTTTTGAAAGTTTGCAGCAGCTGCAACGAATGAAAGGCGGCTGGTTTCAAGCGCCGCGCACATGCGTCTTCAAAGTTCGCAGCAGCCTCAAGTATGGATGGCTGCTCTTTTACAAAGTGTGGCTCGCTTTAGCGCCACGCACATGTGTTTCAGTAGTTGTCAGCAATTTCAGGAGCTCGTGGCGTTGAAGTCCCTGGAATGGCGTTCTGCCGCGATTCAGGATTGCCAGGACACAACAGTCACGCCGATTCGCCGTGTTGAAGGTCCAGCATCAAGGTTCTGGTACGGTTTAGGATTGTCAGGACGCAACACGTTGATTCGCGTCGTTGAGGTCCCCGGACTGGCGATCTGGCAAAATTCCGGATTCTCAGACGGACGTCTCTCAACGGTCTATTTTCCGAAATGGACATACATTAGTGGGGGGACCTTTGAAGAGGGAATTGAGAGGGAGGGTTTATTGCAGCATCTTTGTTGATTCCTGGGTTTACAGTCGTCTTCTTATTGTGTTTCTTCGTCTTCTTCTTGTTCTTTCGCCTCCTCCTCCTCCCTCCCTCCCTCCCTCCCTCCCTCCCTCACCAAGCTCTCCTCCTCGATTCTGCTCCCTCCTTTCTCCTTTCCGTCCTCCTCCTCCTCGTTTTGTTCCTCTTCGTCCTCCTTTTTATCCTCTTCGTCCTCTTTAGGTTTCTCTTCTTCTTCGTTTTCTTCCTCTTCTTCTTATTTGTATCACTCTTAGTATTCCTCCTCCTCCTCGTCCTTCTCCTCCTCCTTTTCCTCCCTCCTCCTCCTCCTCCTCCTCGTCCACCTCCTCCTCCTTCTCCTCTTCCCCTCGACGGCCGCAGGACGTTGCGGAGCTCACGCACTGGGTCCGGGAGCCCAGCGCCCCGCGGCTGGATGAG